TCCCCCTGACTTCCATTTGACTCATTAGTTTTCTGCTAATAACCTGTTTTAAAGGAGCTTTATTGGTGCAATGATCCAGAGAGCTGAAGCCGTTTCTCCTGGCTCTCCTTCAACATTAAAAAGAATAATTTACTTTTATAATTAGTCCGTTAAATTAAAGTAGGAAAAAAAAAATCACCTGCAGCACATTTGTTTTAATATCGTCTGTCACACACTCGTACGTTTGTGGAACAGAAAGAAAATGTGTGTGCTAATCACAACCAATTAGTTTTTCTCAGTTTGAGCAGCCAGCTCTCTGTTTATTGACTGTTTTCTGTAAAATGAGACGCTGAGAGAACAAACGTGTGACTGTCGCCTCGCTTGTGTCACACACACAACGCCTCAATAAGTTTGATTTAGAGTCGCGTCTTTTTTTCATAACGAGCTGCTGCAAGTAAAATATATTTTACGCTTCTATTTGTCAATGGATACAAGTGTTAATTTGTATATGGACACTGCCAAGGGGAGCTGCATGGATTTTTGTTAAAACAAAGTAGCAATTTGACAAAACCTGTAGTAAAGTGTAAATTTGTGTTTCTGTGCATAAATTTGCAATTAAATGCATTTAAAGAGATCTTGTGTTTTTTTGTGAGGTTATAAACTAATATTATCTTACTGGCTGCAGATAGATTTTTGAACAACGTCAGTTTGAAGAATTAAAGTGCAATTTTTACAAGAATGATGAGTTACCGGCTAGTTTGAATGTAGGTTAGGTTTATTTATCACGGGCAAAATCAACACAAGGCCAACGATGCAATGAATGAAATGCTTAGGACGAGAAGAACCGCCTCAACTCAACAACAAAACAAATAAAGAACGCCACAACAACACGAAATATCAAAGCATGCAGCAAAAATACTACTAACATACTAAAAAACATAAAAAAATACTACTAACATACAAAAAAAACATTAAAAAATACTAACATACTAAAAACATATGAAAAATACTACTAACATACTAAAAAAAAATTAAAAATACTACTAACATACAAAAAAACATTAAAAATACTACTAACATACTAAAAAACACAAAAAATACTACTAACATACAAAAAAACATTAAAAATACTAACATACTAAAAACATATGAAAAATACTACTAACATACAAAAAAACATAAAAAATACTAACATACTAAAAACGTATTAAAAATACTACTAACATACAAAAAAACATTAAAAATACTAATAACATACTAAAAACATGAAAAATACTACTAACATACAAAAAAAACATTAAAAATACTAACATACTAAAAACATATGAAAAATACTACTAACATACTAAAAAAACATTAAAAATACTACTAACATACTAAAAAACACAAAAAATACTACTAACATACTAAAAAACACAAAAAATACTACTAACATACAAAAAAACATTGAAAATACTAACATACTAAAAACATATGAAAAATACTACTAACATACTAAAAAAACATTAAAAATACTAACATACTAAAAACATATGAAAAATACTACTAACATACAAAAAAA